GAGAATCCTTAGACACATATCTTAGATGCCACATGCAAGTAAGGAAACTAGGATTTTCAGGCAATCAAAAGGTCACGAATGAGCAAATAGCCGGTCGGGTCGGGCCGGCCCGACTCGACCCGGGATTTTTTGTTGGTCGGGTCAGGACTTTACTCTGTAACCTCTGATGCAATCATTGGTTTCTTCTACTCAGTTATAGCATTGATATGAACTTTACTGAAACTAATGGCCAGCTAGAATTAGGGTCGTCTTCCTCATTCCTCCCCGTTATCTGCATGGGCTGCTTTTCATGGTCGAGGTGACTTTTAAGTCAACTCCAAAGTCATGTCGTTAGGGTCGTCTTGCTCATTCCCCCCGTGCATTCCCTCTCCTTTGTCTTGGGCTGCTTTTCATGTCTATCAGGGATCTACAAGGGAATCGCTTGGTTGGATCCATTCCATCCTCTTTCGGCCGCTTGGTCAACCTGGAGAACCTGTAAGTTTCATAGGCTATCCCAACCCAACTACTACCATTGGCTTGTTGGCAGCACTGGGAGAATCAAATAAACGACTGTACCTCAATAATATCACTGCTTTGCTGTGTTGACACAATCTCAAAGCTTTGTGCTTCACGACTTGTGTGCTTTGCGGCCATCCATCCGTGTGCCCCTTCCCAGATCCATTCTCCTCTTCACCACAATGATTCCTCCACTTAGCCCCACAATTTCAATCTCCCTTCCTTTCCCCTTCGACCCTCACTACTTTCTCTCGCTTATGTCTTCCTTCTTCTCCCAGTCCAATGTTGTTTTGTGTTTTCCCTTATGCTCGCAACGAAGCTCCCCACCTGTTTGGATCTTGGCTCATCACATCCTTGGGGCGCTTGCATGTGCTTCTTGGGATTCTTGCCATGCCTGCTATTCTCAATTCTCCATTTCTTTCAACCCACAACACAATGTACAGGGACCTCTCATCCAATTCTCTCAGTGGCCCCATGTTCACCAACTTCGCCTTCCTTGATGGCCTCACCTATTTGTACGAAGCTCACTAAAATCATTGTTTTATGTGCCGGGCCAGGGCTGCATGGCGCTCTCATGTGCCAAGCCTGCACTGAGCTTCCATGTGCCAAGCCTGCATTGGGCTTCCATGTGCCAAGCCTGCACCGAACGAACGGCAATTTTTATGTGCCAAGCCTGCACTGCGCTCTCAAGCATCGGCTCACTTTCATCATCGCTGTGTGACCTTCCACATTCTTTTCACCTCAGTTGCTGTTCCAAGTCATGCTGTGACATGGCCAATGGTGCTCTGCACCTTGCAGTTGATTCCGTGCCATCCCATTTTACCAACCTGTCATCTGTATTCTCTTGGGATGGTTGCACGCATTGGAACTGCTTGGTTTCTCCATCTCAATGCATGCCTTCAAAGGATGGGTGGATGCATGCTTCTAAGTGGATGGGTGGGTGGATGCATGCCTTTAAGTAAATGAGTGCATGCATATTGCTGCGTTGCGGCGTGCATGACATGCATAACACGGCTTACTCCCACACTTTTCGTTCAACCGGTGCATGTGAGCAGAAACCTCTCTGCTAATAGCCTCAGCGGGGAGATTCAGGCTGAGATTGGAGGCCTCACCTCTTTGAAGTACTTGTGAGTTGCCTTGAGCAAGTACCAAACCCGAACTGAACCTGTAAATAGGCTTCAGAAAGTACCAAAATTGGAGCGAACATTTTAGAAGGCTTTAGCAATACCAGACCCCAACCAGCAATCCAACTTGTAGTTAGGCTGAAACAAGTTCCAAATTTGGTCCAAACTTGGAAATTAAAAGTAGGCTTGAGCAATTACCGAACCCGAAACAAACTTTTAAGCCGTGTGAGATAGTAGATACGCTGGTCTGACGCTACAACGAAAGCACATGTTTGGCTCAAATAGACCACTCTTGCAGGAGTTACAGTGACTTGCAGCTTTTTGTGGGGTTCTGGCAATGTCTCCACGCCCCTCCTAGCCACCATCCCCATACCGTTTCCACCTTTAGAACCAATTAGCCACTATTTTGACTGAACTTGAAAATTTTGTCTGTGCCCACGATTTCTGCCTCTCCATCTCCCATCTTCCACTGCAGCAACATTTCAGGCACCAACCTCACATGCCCACCTGCCCACTCTGCCTGTGGTGTAACACAATCTCCTACCACATCCTTTTGCCGCACGTGTACACCCTTCTGCAATACTTGCACCAACCAATCCACAGGCGAGTAAATGAACTTCAGGCAAGTATGATGTCAGAGCCGAACGCAACGAGACACGGTGTGATGCATGGCACCTTGTGATTTGGTGTCCAGAGTGTTTTTTAAGAGAATGCAGCAAGCAACACATGGCAATGCATGGGAATGCATGCATCGCATTGGAATGCATGCATTGCATTGGAATGCATGTATCGCATGAAAATGCATGTATCACATGGGAATACATGGCAGCACATGGGAATGCATGGCATTTGCACGTCACAAGGCATGACTTAAGAAAGAACCTCTCCCTTGCTGACTCTATTACTGATCAGCTTGCAGCAATCCCCATTATTAATATATGCTCATGTCATTCGCAGAAATCAGCAGCGGCAGCACCAGCGCCAGCAGCAGTGAGACTTCTTCAGCAGGAGGTGGAGGTGGAGTGTCAGTGGGAGTCATCATTGGCATTGTTGTTGCTGCTGTGGTCATTCTCCTGCTTCTGGTCACCACTCTGCTTTACTTCAGGCACAAAAAGAGTACGTTCTGACCAGAGTCTGTCGATGCAGTTGTGTCTGGCTGTTTGCAATCATGGTGCAATATGGGGAGCAAGGTATTCACTGCATAAGCCTAGATATGACCATGCAGGTCTGCAAGTGTAGTCATGCTTAAATCAAACAAAGTTGAAACGAGTTTGACTGCTCAAATCTCTGGCCTTAGAATTATTGGGATTGACTCCCCATGAGCAGTGTGATTTGGTGCCCCCATTTACTTCAGTCACAAGCTCACAGGTCTGTAATCCCCTTCACTTTTGGATGTACCCTTGTGGATGTAAACCCGGGCTACACAATTCTGGAACAGAAGTGCGACAAGGTGTTGAGGCAGTACATGGTTCAGAGATGTCAAATTACGGACTGCGAAATCAGAGCCTGGTTCGGAATAACTCCCTGGTACATATTGATTCGCCATTTCTGTAACCCGTGAACCGACCGACAAGCTGCAACTCAATCCCGGTTGTAGAAACAAGTTTCTGACCCGACTCGACTCGGCACATGATTCAACTTGACCCAACTCGAATCTACTCAACCCAACTCGTGCTTGAGCCTGTTTCCGTGCACCCATGTGCCATGTGCTCGAGCAGGCACGGGCAGCAGTCTGGCAGCCTTGCACTGCACGGAGTTCTCACTAGCAGAAGTCCTCAAGGCCACCAATGACTGGTCCCCCGACAACCTGCTGGGCTCGGGTGCCTTTGGCGATGTGTACAAGGGCGTGTCTCCCCGTGATGGCACCACCTTGTGGGCTGTGAAGCGAGCCAGGTTGATAAACGTGGGCTTTCAGAAGGAGGTCAGTGAGCCATAATGCCGCATGCAAAGCCTTTTCTCACAAGCCTCTGCAGGCATGAAATTGCAAGCCACTTCCTCAATTTGTGGAGGTTTTTCGGCTATTTGATCGGAGCTCTACTTCACAATCTGATTTTCTTTGCTGCACACTCTTTATCTCTGGCTGTGAGGATCAGATCCAGCAGATGTCCGACAAGAACCATCCCAACATTGTGAAGCTCCTTGGTTTTGCGATTGGAGGAGACTTGAGGACACAGCCAGAGCAAGTTCTCATCTATGAATATGTGCCCAACGGCGATCTTAACAAATGGATCGGTCCAAGTATGTGTGCCTCTCCAACTTTATCTTTGATTTCAACTCATGCTCTGCCACTCATGCTGTGCCACTCGTATGCTCTGCCACTCATATGTTGTGCCATCCATATGTTGTGCCATCCATATGCTGTGCCATCCATATGCTGTGCCACTCATTTGCTGTGTCACTCATATCGTGCTGCTTGCCAGTCTTACAATGTGCCACACACATGCCGTGCATCCTTGAGATGTAGCCTTCTCTCGGCCACTGTTAATTTGCCACTCATCCGATGCCACTCAACTCTGCCACTCGTCCTCTGCCACTTATTTCTTGCAGAGGCAGATCGACCTCTCACTCTGAAGCAGCGGCTGGACGTTCTCATCGGCATGGCGCGGGGCTTTGAGTACCATACGCTGTGCCATATGTTGTGCCACTCATACGCCTCCCCTATGCCACTTATTCCTTGCAGAGGCAGCCTGCCCTCTGACTTTGAAGCAGCGGCTGGACATTCTCGTTGGCATGGCACGGGGCTTCGAGTACCTCCACAGCTTTGGCATCGTGCATCGCGACATCAAGCCTGCCAACGTCCTCATCACCAATAACATGCAGGCAAGCTTGGTTGTGGTGGACTGTTTTGATGGCAAAATGACTGGTGGGTGCACACACCACGAAAAATGTTGGCGACCGGGCTATGCATTAATTTGCCTACCCATTTGAGCCCGGATAAAGTAGCTAATGATCACGTGACTAAATCCCGAGTGGCACAGAAAAGTAGACATGAGCAAAAGGCAAATGCAAACGTGTTTGCCGCGAACCCAAACGAACACTTCCCTTAGGCGACTTGGACACATTCGGATTTGGTTTGCCACGAACGTTTCTTTTAAAATGTGTGTGTGTGTTTGAGGTTACAAGCTTGCTTACGGTGGATCAAGTTTGTGTCACGATGATTTTCTTTTGGTGGTGGTAAATGTCCTCATCACCGATAGCATGCAGGCAAGCTATTGGTGTCAGATTTGCGTCCTTTTAGTGGACGCAAACTTTATCATATTCCGGTCAAGGTATGCAACCAAACTACTGTAGTATGTATCCGAATCCTGTACACACATGAACCCATATGATTTTCATGATGCTCTGTTCCTGATCTCTCATGCTACAACAACTCTCATCACAATGACCAGGCAAAGATTGCAGACTTTGGGCTGGTGAGGCTGGGGGAGGGCACAAGTGTGGGCACGACACGCATCATGGGCACACCGGGCTATGTGGATCCTGCCTACTCCCGCACGTCCAAGGCCACCACCGCCAGTGATGTCTACAGGTGAGGCAAGAGTCCCTTGGAAAGCTTGCAGGAGTCCACTGCAAACCTTGCAAGAGTCTATTAACAAGCATTGCTGTAATCCCTTACGGAGCATTGCAACAGTTTCTTCTAGTCACTGCAGTAGTCCCTTGAAAAGCATTGCAGTAGTACCTTCGAAGCATTGCCAGATTCTATTGAAAAGCATGAAAGTAGTTCCTTTAAATTGTTGCAGGTGCCCCTTAGAAATTATTGCAGCAGTCCCTTGGAAAATATGAGTCACTTAAAATCATTGCAAGAAACCTTTGGGAGGCATTTGCAGAGGCGATAAGTAAAAGAGCTCCATTTACTATGTGTCTAGAGTCCATGAACCTGTGCTCAATGCATTTAACTGACAAGATTCATCTTAAGTGCCACCTCTCCCTCTGCATCCTGTGCCTCTGTGCTGTGATTTTCTTTTCAGCTTTGGAGTACTCATGTTGGTTATCTTCACAGGGCGCCCACCAATTTTGGGGACTGATGGAGACGGCCAGCAGGTCACTGAATGGGTGAGCACCCCATCCATGAACCCGCCTGTTCTTCTTTTCTGTGATAGTGTCATCTCAATAGCACAAGGGAACACCCCCGTCCGCTGCCCAATGTTTGGTTGTGGTACACCTTACGAAAGTCTGGTGTTGCTGGTGGTCCTCTCAGGGCTTGCAGGTGACTTCATGGGTAAGAACCGTTTTTCTTATACCCAATAAATTAGCTAGCATCTTCTCAATGGCATCAAAAGAATTCCTTCCACACCTCCATAATTAGGTAGCGTCTGCTCACCTCACTCTGCTTGTGGTTTCTCCCACCCCCTCCACCCGCTCCACTCCCTCAGGCATCAGAGTGCCTCTCCTTGGGAGACATGGAAAGCCTCATGGACCCCGCCATGGACGCCCCTGCAGATGCTGTGCTGCGTGTGGCTCAGCTCGCCCTCACTTTAGTCCATTTGTGATTTCTCCCCCCTCCTCTCCACTCCCTCAGGCGTCGGACTGTCTCTCCTCGGGGGACGTGGGGAGCCTCATGGACCCCACCATGGACGCCCCTGCAGATGCTGTGCTGTGTGTGGCTCAGCTCGCCCTCTCCTGCACCGCGGAGCGCACTGCAGCCCGCCCAAGCATGGCACACATCGCCAACGAGCTGCAGGCCATCCGGGAGGAGTGGGTGGGGAAAGAGGAGCTGAGCGCGGCTGTCAAGGTGGATGCGGAGGTGCAGGAGTTGAAGGATGTTGTTGGCGTGAACAGCCTCGACACAGAACTTCAGATGATTGAAGACAACTTGGGTGAAAGTTACGATAGTTAAAGTTTTGACTAGTGGCAGTTTTGAAGGTAGTGCTCGAGAATGTTTACGTCTTGCTGAAATTGCTCTCCTTATGAATATACTGTACATGCCTAGTGGGCTAGCCTACAAAGAAGACACCAGGGTGCACTAAAGGGGGCGTTCTCTATTGATTTGCTAGTGTTTAGCCCATTATAACTTCAAGAGACCCTTCTGCCACCCATGGTCATAAATTATCGCTAGGATTAGAACCTCCCCCCCCCCCCCCCCCCCAAAAAAAAAGTTACACACATAAAAAGCCGCGCTCAGCTCCTCTTTCCCCACCACCTCCTCCCGGATGGCCTGTAGCTCGTTGGCGACGTGTGCCATGCTTGGGCGGGCTGCAGTGCGCTCCGCAGTGCAGGAGAGGGTGAGCCGAGCCACGCGCAGCACAGCATCTGCAGGGGCGTCCATGGTGGGGTGGTTGAGGCTACCCAAGTCCCCCGAGGAGAGGCGGTCCGACGCCTAAAGGAGTGAAAACAGCGGTCAAAATCACAAACAAAGTAAGGTTAGCCAGATCAACAAGAAGGTGTGGTCAGAATACCCCTTTGATACCTTAAAAATGATGCTCACTAAGTTCGTGTCTAGAAGTGGAGTGGTTATTACCCACTCACAAGTTCTTACCCACAGAGTGATCCGCAAGACCTAAAAAGACCACTAGCAAAACCAAACGTGCGTAAGACGTACCACAACCACCACTGGGCAGCGGATGGGGGAGTTCCCTTCTGATTTTAGTCGACGCCATCACAGAAACCCTCGTCTCATGGATGGGGTGCTTACCCATTTAGAGAGCGACTAACCCTCTCCATCAATCTCCACGAATGGTGGGCGTCCCGTAAACACGACCAACATTAGCACTCCAAAGCTGAAAATAAGAGTTCAACGACACATGATGATCAGAGCACACCATGCAGAGGAAGAGCCAGCGATGGAGCCACTTGACACGAATCTTGCCATTTGAATGAAGTGTACACATGTTCATGGACTGAACACACATAACACTTGGAGCCTCCTCAAATTCTTTCCGAAGGATTCCTGCATTGATTCTAAGGGTCTCTGAAGGACTCCTACAATGGTTTATAAGGGCTCATACATTTCTTTGAAGTAATTTTTGCTATGCTTTCTAACAGAACCCTGCAATGCTTTTTAAGGAGTTATGCAATACTTGCTAAGAGTCTCCTGCAATGATAGTATCATGCAATAATTTTAAGGACTCCTGCAATGCTTTCTAAGGGTCTAATGCAATGATGTCTGAGGGACTCTTTCGGTCCTTTCTACATGACTTCTACAAAGGTTTCGAAGGGACTCATGCAAAGATTTTAAGGGTATCCAGCCTGACCTGTACACGTCGCTGGCAGTGGTGGCCTTGCACGTGCTGGTGTAGACCGGATCCACATAGCCCGGTGTGCCCATGACGCGCGTTGTGCTTACACAAGTGCCCTCCCCCATCCGCACCAGCCCAAAGTCTGCAATCTTCGCCTGGTGATTGTATTGAGAGTTATTATGGTAGCATGAGGGATGAAGAATAGAGAATGAGAAATGGTTGCGTGTGGTGTTACCCACAACAGAGCAGGGTGATGGCAAAAATCCAGGGTTTATGAGTGAGGTTGAGTTCATGGTTACAGCAAGAAATGAGATGTTGAGTTGAAGCATAGTAAACATCTTGTGCAAGATTTTTTTTTTGCTAAAACCATTCGGGACAAGGTCATCCCCGTTCAGGGGAACGCATTTGGCCGCTGCGTTTGCCTGATTAGCGGCTGCAAGGCTTTGACACGAACCTGACAGGTTCCGTCTAAACCCACATGTCAGTTTTCTACTTAGGGGGGAAAACCAGCACTAGAGCTCTGTTCAGGTTGAATGTTACGTTCACTATACCTTAAGCCACAACACTTACACGCATGTTAAAAACAACTGTTAAGGACATTCTTGTTCAATGTCGATTAATACTTAGGCTGGAGTGTGGTAAGAGTTGAATCTAGTGCGCGAGGATTAGATGTAGCATAGATGCGGCAGTACGGAAGTGAGAGTGCGGATTGGGTTTTACTGGTGCATTGCAGTATGGTGGGATTTGGGGCAGGGTGGACTGGCTTTGAAATTGATGAAATCAGTGTTACGACAATTCAAGACGCCACTGTTAAACGCGAAAAGTCACGAACTTGCTTTCCCCGCCTTGTAATGAGCCAGGTCCTCGAATGGTCCCTCAAACTCCAACTATTTTGAGTTTGAGGCAAACCCTCTAAAGCTTGTGGCAAACCCTGTGGGGTTTGCCTGTAATCTTGACAACGCGAACTTAACCTCCAACATAAATATTATACAGCTTTCCCTCCACCACAGAAATCTGCTTGACACCAAAATCATCCACCGCAACCAAGCTTGCCTGCATGTTGTCAGTGATGAGGACGTTGGCAGGCTTGATGTCGCGTTTGACTCTGAATCAAAACGCTGAGCGTGTCAAATCCATTATAGCGCTGTGCGACCTTCCACACTCTTGTCACCTCAGTTTGTAAGATTATACTGCTCTCCTGTATCCTGCATTGATCCTATAAACCCTAGGATAGAGATAGGCACCCAAACTATGTTTGGGTGCACAAACTAGGGTTAACCCTAGTTGGGGGTTGGAACCCAACCTTGGTCCAATTATTGGCCCCCAAGGTTGGGTTGGGAGATTATTGCGCCCCCCCCCCCCCCATAATGTTGGCCCACATTGGCCAACATTATTGGGACCCCCCAATAATTCTCCAACCCAACTTATTGGTGGGGGGCCAATAATGTTGGCCAGGTACCCAACCAACCCCCTCTTCCCTAGATCCAACTATGTAAACCCTCATGATTCCTAATGAAGCTATCAGTTCAATTTTAATATAGTTGCTATTCAAAGTCATGCCGTGACATGTTCAATGGTGCTCTGCATCTTATAGTTGATTCTGTGCCATCCCATTTTACCAACCTGTCATCTATATTAAAAAGGATGCACGCATTGGAACTACCCGGTTTCTCCATCTCAATGCATGCCTTCATGTGGATGGGAGGATGCATGCCTCTAAGTGGATGGGCGGGTGGATGCATGCCTTTAAGTGGATGGGTGCATGCATGTTGCTGCGTTGTGGCGTGCATGACATGCATAACACGGCTTACTCCCACACTTTTCGTTCAACCTGTGCATGTGAGCAGAAACCTCTCTGCTAATAACCTCAGCGGGGAGATTCTGGCTGAGATTGGAGGCCTCGCCTCTTTTAAGTACATGTGAGTTGGCTTGAGCAAGTACCAAACCCGAATTAAACCTGTAAATAGGCTTCAGAAAGTACCAAAATTGGAGCACATTTTTTAGAAGGCTTTAGCGATACCTGACCCTAACCAACAATCGAACTTGTCGTTAGGCTTAAAGAAGTTCAAAACTTGGTCCAAACTTGAAATTTTAAAGTAGGCTTGACCAAGTACCGAACCCGAAACAAGCATTTAAGCCGTGTGAGATAGGAGATACGCTGGTCTGATGCCACAATGAAAGCACATGTTTGGCTCAAGTAGACCACTCTTGCAGGAGTTGCAGATTTTTGCAGGGTGCTGGCTATGTCTCAACGCCCAGTCACCATCCCCATACCATTTCCACCTTCAGAACCAATTAGCCACTATTTTGACTGAACTTGAAATTTTTGTTTGTGCCCACGATTTCTGCCTCTCCATCTCCCATTTTCCACTGCAGCAACATTTGAGGCACCAACCTCACATGCCCACCTGTCCACTGTGCTTGTGGTGTAACACAATCTCCTACCACATCCTTTTGCCACTCGTGTAAACCCTTCTGCAATACTTGCACCAACCAATCCACAGGCGAGTAAATAAACTTCATGCAAGTATGATGTCAGAGCCGAACGCAACAAGACACGGTGTGATGCATGGCACAATGTGTTTTGGTGTCGAGAGTGTTTTTTTTTAGAAAAAAGGTTATTTCTGAAACATATGTCAGTACAGCAAGCAAGACATGGCAATGCATGGGAATGCATGCATCGCATGGGAATGCATGCATCGCATGGAAATGCATGTATCGCATGGGAATGCATGCATCGCATGGGAATGCATGTATCGTATGGGAATGCATGCATCACATGGGAATGCAGGCATTGCATGGGAATGCATGCATCGCATGGGAATGCATGTATCGCATGAAAATACATGGCAGCACATGGGAATGCATGCATGGCATTTGCACGTCACAAGGCATGACTTAAGAAAGAACCCCTCCCTTGCTGACTCTGTTACTGATCAGCTTGCAGCAATCCCCATTGCGTGCATTAATGTATGCTCATGTCATTCGCAGAAATCAGCAGCGGCAGCACCAGCACCAGCACCAGCACCACCACCAGCAGCAGCAGCAGCAGTAGCAGCAGCAGCAGCAGCAGCAGCAGCAGCAGCAGCAGCAGCAGCAGCAGCAGCAGCAGCAGCAGTGAGACTTCTTCAGCAGGAGGTGGGGGTGGAGTGTCAGTGGGAGTCATCATTGGCATTGTTGTTGCTGCTGTAGTCGTTCTCCTGCTTTTGGTCGCCGCTCTGCTTTACTTCAGGCACAAAAAGAGTACGTTCTAACCAGAGTCAGTTCATGGTTCAGAGATGTCAAATTACAGAACTGCGAAATCAGAGCCTGGTTTGGAATAACTCCCTGGTACATATTGATTCGCCATTTCCGTAACCCGTGAACCGACCAACAAGCTGCAACTCAATCCCGATTGTAGAAACAAGTTTCTGACCCGACTCGACTCGGCACATGATTCAAATTGACCCAACTCGAATCTACTCAACCCAACTCGTGCTTGAGCCTGTTTCCGTGCACCCATGTGCCATGTGCTCGAGCAGACACGGGCAGCAGTCTGGCAGCCTTGCACTGCACGGAGTTCTCACTAGCAGAAGTCCTCAAGGCCACCAATGACTGGTCCCCCGACAACCAGCTGGGCTCGGGTGCCTTTGGCGATGTGTACAAGGGCGTGTCTCCCCGTGATGGCACCACCTTGTGGGCTGTGAAGCGAGCCAAGATGATAGGCGTGGGCTTTCAGAAGGAGGTAAGTCAGCCATGGTGGAGGCACACAAGGCCTTTTCTCACAAGCCTTTGCAGACATGAAATTGCAAGTCAGTTTCTCAATTTGTCAAGCTGGTTCTGCTATTTGTTTGGAGGTCTCCTTTGCAATTTGTTTTTCTTTGCTGTTCGCCATTTCTTTCTGCCTGTGTGGATCAGATCCAGCAGATGGCCGACAAAAACCATCCCAACATTGTGAAGCTCCTTGGCTTTGCGATCGGAGGAGACCTGAGGACACAACCAGAGGAAGTTCTCATCTATGAATATGTGCCCAACGGCGATCTTAACAAATGGATTGGTCCAAGTACGTCTGATGTTCCACACATGCTCTGCCACTCATGCTGCGCCACTCATTTGCTGTGTCAATCATATTGTGCAGCGTGACCTCGACTCTAAAGCACCTTGCGAGTCATGCGCTGTGCCACACATATGCTGTGCCTCGAATCTTTGAGATGTGGCCTGCCCTTGGCCACTCTTGATCCGCCCCACTTCCGATGCCACTCAACTCTGCCAATCATCCCTCTGGCACTTGTTCCTTTGCAGAGGCAGAGCGCCCTCTAACTCTGAAGCAGCGGCTGGACATTCTCATCGGCATGGCACGGGGTTTCGAGTATCTCCATGGCTTTGGCATCGTGCATCGCGACATGAAGCCTGCCAACGTCCTCACCACCGATAACATGCAGGCAAGCTTGGTTGCAGTGGATCTTTTTCGTGACAGAATAATTTCTCTCTGTGTGTGTGTGTGCGTGTGTGTGTGTGTGTGTATATGTGTGTGTGTGTGTTTTGTAATATATTTTAGTCAAGCTACACATTCAAGTCTCATCAAGGTGTCGGTATACGACACTACACCTATCGTGGTTGAAATTTTTGAACTTCAAATCTCGTTTCGTACAACAACTACATGTTCTATTCAACCTCACTCAGGAACCCTTTTTCTTTCAATCTTTGCTCTGTTGTGGATAGTGCCAAAAGTGTCCAAATTTAATGCAACATTCCCTATCCCTCGTGCTACAATGCCACTCATCTGAGTCACCAGGCAAAGATTGCAGACTTTGAGCTGGTGAGGATGGGGGAGGGTTACTGTGGGGACAACGCGCATCATGGGCACACCGGGCTATGTTGACCCGGTCTACTCCATCACCTCCAAGGCCACCGCTGCCAGTGATGTCTACAAGTGATCATTGGAAAGGCCTTATGTGAGGCACTGGTGATTACAGGTGAGGCAGTTGTGATTACAAGTGAGGCAGTGGTGTCTACAGGTGAGGTAGTGGTGTCTACAGGTGAGGCAGTGGTGTCTACAGGTGAGGCAGTGGTGTCTACAGGTGAGGCAGTGGTGTCTACAGGTGAGGCAGTGGTGTCTACAGGTGAGGCAGTGGTGTCTACAGGTGAGGCAGTGGTGTCTACAGGTGAGGCAGTGGTGTCCAAAGGTGAGGCAGTGGTGTCCACAGGTGAGGCTGTGGTGTCTACAGGTGAGGCAGTGGTGTCTACAGGTGAGGCAGTGGTGTCTACAGGTGAGGCAGTGGTGTCTACAGGTGAGGCAGTGGTGTCTACAGGTGAGGCAGTGGTGTCTACAGGTGAGGCAGTGGTGTCTACAGGTGAGGCAGTGGTGTCTACAGGTGAGGCAGTGGTGTCTACAGGTGAGGCAGTGGTGTCTACAGGTGAGGCAGTGGTGTCTACAGGTGAGGCAGTGGTGTCTACATGTGAGGAAGTGGTGTCTAAAGGTGAGGCAGTGGTGTCTACAGGTGAGCCAGTGGTGTCTACAGGTGAGGCAGTGGTGTCTACAGGTGAGGCAGTGGTGTCTACAGGTGAGGCAGTGGTGTCTACAGGTGAGGCAGTGGTGTCTACAGGTGAGGCAGTGGTGTCTACAGGTGAGGCAGTGGTGTCTACAGGTGAGGCAGTGGTGTCTACAGGTGAGGCAGTGGTGTCTACAGGTGAGGCAGTGGTGTCCAAAGGTGAGGCAGTGGTGTCTACAGGTGAGGCAGTGGTGTCTACAGGTGAGGCAGTGGTGTCTACAGGTGAGGCAGTGGTGTCTACAGGTGAGGCAGTGGTGTCTACAGGTGAGGCAGTGGTGTCTACAGGTGAGGCACTGGTGTCCACAGGTGAGGAAGTGGTGTCTACATGTGAGGCTGTGGTGTCTACAGGTGAGGCAGTGGTGTCTACAGGTGAGGCAGTGGTGTCTACAGGTGAGGCAGTGGTGTCTACAGGTGAGGCAGTGGTGTCTACATGTGAGGAAGTGGTGTCTAAAGGTGAGGCAGTGGTGTCTACAGGTGAGCCAGTGGTGTCTACAGGTGAGGTAGTGGTGTCTACAAGTGAGGCAGTGGTGTCTACATGTGAGGCATTGGTGTCTACAGGTGAGGCAGTGGTGTCTACAGGTGAGGCAGTGGTGTCTACAGGTGAGGCAGTGGTGTCTACAGGTGAGGCAGTGGTGTCTACACGTGAGGTAGTGGTGTCTACAGGTGAGGCAGTGGTGTCTATAGGTGAGGCAGTGGTGTCTACAGGTGAGGCTCTGGTGTCTACAGGTGAGGCAGTTTTGTCTACAGGTGAGGCAGTGGTGTCTACAGGTGAGGCAGTGGTGTCTACAGGTGAGGCAGTGGTGTCTACGGGTGGTGTCTGCACTTACAGGTGATCATTGTAGGAGCCCTTCTTGTGGCAATAATGTGCACAGGTAAGCAACGTCTACAGGTGAGCATTTTTTAGACATCTTGAAGAGCGTCGGCACGTCGCATGTCATGGGCGCACCGGGCTATGTGGATCCTGTTTATTCCCATCACATCGGCAGCACTGCAGCCAGTGATGTCTATAGGTAGGGCAGTGAGATCTACAGGTGTTAATTTCTTAAACGTTCTAAAGTGTTTGTGCACGATGCACGTCATCCTTTCCACTCTCACGTCCAAGGCCACCGCTGGCAGAGATGTCTTAAGTAAACCAGGAGTTCTTTGAGAAGCATGGCAGGTCCTAAGCTGGTTGCTGAGTCAGCGTTCTATTATCAAAATTATAATCCCGGTAGAGATGACATGGACCTCAGTCCTACACCAATGCTACCAAGGCGTTTTGATCAGGCTTCTCGAGCTTATCCTAGAGGCTTTTTTAAGACGCTCAGTCAGTTCGATTCTCCAGCACTTTGCTGGTTGTGGTGGCTCTTTCATCATCACGCCATGCCTCCTAAGGGGAAGCCTTGTAAGGTTGCTACCAACAAGATGGACCCTGCTGCTGCTGCGCTTAAGACACCGGCTACGGGCTCCATGGCTCGTCCGGCCTTGGTCACTGCTGTCCCGTCGAAGTCCACGCGGACTCTGTTTGCGGAGGAAGACTCAGAATCTTTGACGCTGTCGGCTAAGCTGGATGCACTCCGTATTGAGCAAGCTGCTGGAGGGAAGGCGGACAATGGCAAAGGAAAAGATGGTGATTTTAAGGATGTGGTATTTGATGCGGAAGAAGCTGCTGCTGAAGATGTTGCTGGGGAGTCATCGTCTGGTGCTGCTCGTCGTTTCTGCATCTTGGATGATGAGGATGACGGCCTTATTGCTCACGACCCGAAGGAATGTTTTGAGGATAAGGCGAAGGAGGAGCTCGCGGCGAAGCCGCGTTTCCCGCTAACACTGCTGTTTCCAAGCGACCATCTGCAAGAAGTTCGTCGCGCAAGGCAACGATTAAGGAACTGTTGGGAACGACGTGGAGTAATCAGCTCACTGAGAGCGCGGCAGCGACGACGACTTTTCAAGAGTTGAATCTGGGTTCCATCTCAAAGAAGCTGTTTGGTCGTTTGCAAGTAATTTTTGTTGCTGCTTCAAATGCTAACTTAGTTTAAAGAGAACTCGCATTGAACACCAGTGTGTGGATGGGAAGTGGATCTTCCTCAATTGGCTAATCCGGAGGACCCAAGCTATACCAGGCGGAAGATTACTGACCCAGCGGTGATTGAAGTGTTGTTCTTGGGTGTGGCCGCGGAAATCTCCCCGGAAATGCTCCATGAGGCTCTCGCGGTCTCCCCGCTGAAGATCTGCAAGCGTCCGGCCTTCAAAGCTGGCTTCTGCTTTCACTGTGCCGTGCATCCTGTCTCGGGGCTGGATACAGATCGGGTGAAAGGCTTGGTGGTTGTGCATGAAAATGACAAGTTTCGGTGGCTGCACTTCTTTGAGAATCCGGTCTCCCCCGGCGTGAAGATCATGGTGCACTAGACCTATGATAGGAAAGACACGTCCTGCGTCCTGGACGAATGCGTCCAGACGCAGGACGCAAAACCTGGACCTCTAAGACGCACCAAAAGACGCAAGCCCGGGCAGGGAAAAAAAAAACCTCGGGCAGGCCAAAAAAAAGTGAGTAGGGCTTGGGAGAGGGGGGGGGGGACGTACCACACTTTTCAATGCAAATTCTACCCCAACCTCAAAATCTTCCCCCACAATTTAATATTAAGGTGAGTCACGCATCACGCATTTCACAAGGTCTCACACACATTCAGTTTAATCCAAAAAAAAAATTTCGGGCTGCCCGAATTTTTTTTCGACGTGCGTCCTGCGTCTGGACGCGCGTCCTGCGTCCTAGCGTCCGGACGCTGCGTCCAGACGCAGGAATAAGCGTCCTGGTTGCGTCTTTCCTATCATAGCACTACACGGTGCTGAAGTGTTCGCTGTGTGGGGGGATACACTCAGTGCATAACCACAACGATTTTGTGACTGAACGGCAGAACAACATCTCCAAGTGGAACCTCACAGTGGGGAGGGTCCAGGAGCTCAACGGTAGAACGAGCGATGGCCCGTGCGGGGAGAACGAGAGGCTGATGTGGCTGTTCGGGAGCCTTCAAATGGCGGATGCGTATCGAACGTTAAATCCGGGCGGTAGGGAATACACCTTCTACGCCCGTGCGACGAAATCCAGCTCGAGGATTGATCGGATCGTGGTGTCAGGAGATTTACTCTCGTCGGTGACGGCAGCTGCTCACACGCGTCCGGTGAAGGTGATCTTTAATCACAAATTCGGCATCAGGGTGGTGCTGCAGGCGAATCTGAGGCTGCATATGGGCCCCGGGATTTGGCGGTTGCCCTCTGCAAACACAGCGAAACCAGGGGTGGAAAGAGTGGTCAGAACAGTTACCGAAAGGCACCGCGCAGGGAAGTCGGGTAACTTCGGTTCCCTACTCACCAAGCTCAAGGCGGCGCTCAGGAGATACGCGACGGAGGAACGGAAAAGGGTGCGGGCGACCTTGAGGCATCTGGAGCTGGCGGTCTCTGGTCTGCAGCATGCAGTGATGCGGGAACCTCACCGCGACGACTTAAGAGCAAATCTTCTCGAGAAGGAGGCCCAGCTGGAAGCGTAATGAGAGAAGAGACGAAAGGAGAATGAGAGACTACACTTCCTTGCGGGGGTGATGGAAGAGACGAAAGGAGAAATTGCATCGAAGGTACTCTCCGGGAAAGTGAAGTCCAAGAAGATGAGAACGATGATTCCTGCTCTGACGGTGCAGGGGGTAGAGCAGAAGGGGACGAAAGGGATTCTGGAAGCTGCATCCGGCTTCTACGCAGAGCTGTTCGCGGAGGCTCCACCGTCAGGCCTGCCATGCTGGAAGCCAGATGTGGGCAAAATGCTAAGGGGAGATGAAGCGGCGGAGCTGGATGCTGACTGGTCAGAGGAAGAGATAAAGGCGGCGCTGGGTGGTATGGCGCGGGACAAGTCCCCAGGGAACGACGGTCTCCCGAAAGAGCTCTTCGAGCTGCACTGGGACCTGCTAAAAGAGGATTTCATAGGTTTCTTTAAAAGGTTTGAAGAAACGGCGGTGCTCTCGGAGGAGGTGCAGGAGGCGGTGAATATCCTGCTGCACAAGAAGGGTCCGAGGGAGCTGGTGAAGAACTATAGACCAATTACCCTGTTCACAAGCTCTTACAAGGTAGTGGCGAAGCTGCTGGCTAACCGAATGAAGAAGGTATTGGGAACGGTCATCTCGGAGGAGCAGCACGGCTTCCTTCCTGGTCGGCGGCTCACGGATGCGGTGTCGATGGTGGCAGACGTGATCGAAGCCGCGAACAATGATAATGAGGACTGGTACTTGATGATGGTGGACTTTCAGAAGGCCTTCGACTCGGTGTCGCGGTCCTTCCTCTTTGACACGATGACGTTGATGGGGTTCCCCGAGAAATTCATCGGCTGGTGCAGGGGCCTGAATGGAGGGTCGTTCACGTGCCTCCTGGTCAACGAATGGCTCGAGTTGATGTCTGCAAGGGGGTTCGCCAAGGGTGTCCGCTCGCGCCGTACCTCTTCTTGTGCGCGGTGGAGCCATTCTGCCAAGAGGCAAAGCGCAGGAAGTTAGGCATATGCGATGACCATGGGGACCGGCTGGCCTACCTCGGGTATGCTGATGACACGACTTTGGTGCTGAAAGGGAAGCAGCAGATTGGTCGGGCAGAGACGCTTCTGGAAGAGTTCAAGGCTTGCTCTGGCTTTCGGGTGAAGAAAGACAAGTCGGCAATATTACCGCTGGGGAAGAACCTGGACAAAGGAATAGACAGGGAGTCAGCCTTCACGTGGATTGAACCTAAAGAAGCAAAGCGGCTACTGGGTGTCTGGGTGTCCCCGTCCGGGAGTGCCGCAGTCACCTGGGAGAAGGCGCTGGCCAGGGCGGCGGAAGAACTGGTGAAGTGGCGCTCACAGCATCTTACCACGACGGCAAGGGTGGCGGTGGTGAACACCTACGTTTGCCCGATCCTCGCTTTCCAGGGTCAGGTTTACCCGCCGTCGGAGAAGATCTGGAAACGTATCATGAAGCTGTTAGTGAACTTCATTTCTGGGAACTAGGCGTCCGAAGAGCACCATTTCTCGCTGTGGAGCAGAGAGCTGATCTTCAGACCGAGGAAAGATGGTGGCCTGAGGGTACGTGACCCTTTCGTTGAACTCAGCGGCCTGGCGGCCAGACGGGTGGGGAAATTTGTGCTGGGTAAGAGAGGAGTCGGGAGATGGTTGGCGACGAAGGCGGCGGACCTCCCCGCGGGCTTCCGATGCTTTTGGGCGCATGAGGATTTCTTGAAAGATTGGAAGGGGCGGAGCGAAAGATGGAGTAAAACGTGCGAGGCATTCATGAAGTCGAAAATAGCGAGGGAAGGTCCGAAGTCGGATGGGACATCGCGCAAGAGCCTTTGCTGTTCAACCGCCAGGTCCTGCCGAACGGGAAGAAGCCGATTGGTTGCCAGAAAGCAGCGGAAGGCTGGAGCTAATTCAGCTGGGCGATTTCATTAGCTGCGCAGAGGATGGAGCGTGCTCGTTAAAGAGTGAAGAGGTACTGGCCAGGGAGCTGGGCACGGTCAAGAAGGCGAGAAAGGGGCTGAAAATTTCTAAGTGTATTCCGGACGCATGGAAGGAGAAGCTGCTGGTGCCTATCACAGGGAAGGAGTTCATGGAGGTGTCGTCTCATGTGAAAAGAATAGGCGCAGTGGGCGTCTGGAAGGTGGATGCGGTGGAGCAGGGAAGGCGTGCCTGCCGAGCATGCGATTGTTTTGGGGAGCCCCAGAAGGGGACTGCGGAACGGTTGTCGGTTTTCGACTTGAACAGAGTGGAGCTGTTGATGGTGAGAGAAGGGAGGGTAATTGGAGTGAGCGGCCTGCCAGAAGTACGGTTGCGCTGCTCAGAGCTATGCGCAGGCGGGCAACTCCCCCCTTTCAAGCAGCTGAGAGGGTTGTTTGGCGCGCAGCAAGGGGTGTTGCGGCAACAAGAGAAATGGGCGGAAGACTGGGGATGTGCAATTGACTGGAAGAGGGTCATCATCATGCGGGAATCTGCGGTGCTCCCGAACCAGGCTCGTGATATGCTGCTTCGGCTGCACTGCCGTAACCTGCAGGTTGGGGTGCGGCTGAAGTTTCTGGAAGGCGTGGCTTGTCCGCATTGCGGAGGGGAAGAGTCCGCGAAGCACTGTTTATTCAGCTGCCCCCGCATCCAGCCAGTGGTGCAGGGATTGCTAAAAGCCCTCCGCCTTCTCAACCCGGGAAGGAAAATCTCGTCGCTGGGGGACTTACTGTTTCAGAAAGAAGGATCGGGGTCAGGATTTCCAGAGGCAACTCTCACTGCTATAGCCTTTCACAAGATCTGGGTGGAAAGATGTGATGCAGCCTTCGAAAGGGGTCAATTTCGGTCCAAGAGGGTGCTGCGCAGAATCTTGGCGGCTTTCTATACACACACGAGAGCTTACCTACGAGCGAAGAAGGGGAACAAACGGGCAGATGTGGTGCTGGGGCCGGGGCAGCGCTCTCTCTTGGAGCGGCTGGATCCGGACGAATTCCGGATGCTGAGCAGGGTTTGTGAAAGCTCAGCAAGAACACTTGCGTGGACCAGTGGCTTCACCTCCATCTGGGCCAACCCGCGCACTGTCTTCCATCCCCCTTAAGATATCAGGATGGGTACGATAGCTGGCTGCTATCTAGGCCCATCGGCTACAGTTACGACTTTTAATGCTTGTATGCACTGCTATAGTGGATCTTGCATTGCCAAAAAAAACTATGTGTGTGCAGTACATGAATCTGGGTATGCTACGATGAGATGAGCCCCAAATACTATGTGTGTGTAGTACATGAATCTGGGTATGCTACGATGAGATGAGCCCCAAATACTACGTGTGTGTAGTACATGAATCTGGGTATGCTACGATGAGATGAGCCCCAAATACTATGTGTGTGTAGTACATGAATCTGGGTATGCTACGATGAGATGAGCCCCAAATACTATGTGTGTGTAGTACATGAATCTGGGTATGCTACGATGAGATGAGCCCCAAATACTATGTATGTGTAGTACATGAATCTGGGTATGCTACGATGAGATGAGCCCCAAATACTATGTGTGTGTAGTACATGAAACTGGGTATGCTGCGGTCACGTGGCAAGACTCATCTAAAGTGCCTCTTCCTCTTCTTTTTCGTCAGCATCCTTTTCCGATCTTCCTATGCCTCTGATCATACTCTGCCTCTGATCATACTCTGCCTCTGATCATACTCTGCCTCTGATCATACTCTGCCTCTGATCATACTCTGCCTCTGATCATACTCTGCCTCTGATCATACTCTGCCTCTGATCATACTCTGCCTCTGATCATACTCTGCCTCTGATCATACTCTGCCTCTGATCATACTCTGCCTCTGATCATACTCTGCCTCTGATCATACTCTGCCTCTGATCATACTCTGCCTCTGATCATACTCTGCCTCTGATCATACTCTGCCTCTGATCATACTCTGCCTCTGATCATACTCTGCCTCTGATCATACTCTGCCTCTGATCATACTCTGCCTCTGATCATACTCTGCCTCTGATCATACTCTGCCTCTGATCATACTCTGCCTCTGATCATCCTGTGCCTTTGAACCATTTTCTCAGCTTCGGAGTGCTCATGCTGGTGGTCCTCACGAGACAGGCGCCACTCTTGGAGACTGATGGAAAGAGTCAGCAGATCACTCCTTGGGTGAGCACCTTATCCCATGAGACCGGCGATTGCATTGTCAGTGTGATCGCATTGTCTCAGTGCCAGTAAAGGAACACCAATGCTGGTTCATTTCCTACCATGTCTACTTTTTGCTAGTGGTCCTCACAGGGATAGCATACCATGTCTACTATTTTTTTTTAAATCTCCTCAGCTTCTTGATGACCTGTCTCATCTCACCTTCTCCAACCCCCCTACCCAATTCACTCCCTCAGGCATCTGAATGTTTGTCCTCGGGAAACTTGGGGAGCCTCAAGGACCCCAGCATGGACGCCCCTGCTCATGCTGTGCTGCGTGTGGCTCAGCTCGCCCTCTCCTGCACTGTGGAGCGCACTGCAGCCTGCCCAAGCATGGCACACGTCGCCAACGAGCTGCAGGCCATCCGGGAGGAGTGGGTGGGGAAAGAGGAGCTGAGCGCGGCTGTCAAGGTGGATGCGGAGGTGCAGGAGATGAAGGATGTTGTCGGCGTGAACAGCCTCGACACCGAACTTCAGATGATTGAAGACAACTTGGGTGAAGGTTAAGTTATAGTTTTGACAAGTGGCACATTTACTAGTAGTGCTAGAGAATGTTTATGTTCTGCTGAAATTGCTTTCCGTATGAATATACTATACATGCCTAGTGGGCTACCCTACCAAGAAGACACTAGGGTGCGCTATTGCGGGCATTCTCTTCTGATTTGATAGCGTTTAGCTCAGTATAAGTTGAGAGACCCCTCCGCCACCACATCACTCGGATAATGGACCGGGGTGTAATGCTATACTGTATGGAATTGCACTAGGCACGAGGTGTAATCTTGCAACATCTTTATATGCTGTGTTACTTCATATTGAAGGACACGTGCTTATAATAGAAGGGCATGTGCTTCTATCTGGAGTGACATGGTAGCAGGGCCGATTTTATCAATGTAAATTACCCTGATACTTTGATTACCGTAAACCCTCGTATATAAGACCCCCTCCAGTTGTAGACCCCCGGGTCTTTAATACGGGGGGGGGGGGGGGGGGGGGTACTCTATTCTAGTATATGCGAGTTATACCCCCCTAAATGGCTCCTGACAATATAAGACCCCCCCCCCCCGCCCGCCCCCCCCACCCTCGAGAATTCCGGATTTTCAGCAAATGCAATAGAAAATGGTCATTTCCATGTTCAGGGAGAGACAAAATCACCATAAACGCACATGCACAGACACAAAGTGGTGTTTGTGGCCAATGGGAGGAGGCACCCAGATAGAGTTCGTGATGACGTGGGTTTGGCACTCGTGGAGACCACGCTGAGTATCTTTGGGAGGTGCTACAAACGGAGCAATTCGAAAAACTTGTTTGAGCTCAAAAGCATGTGTCCTATCAAAGTCAATTTGAACAGACTCGGATCTTATGAAAAGTATCTCATATGTATAGACCCCCCAATTTTTTTGGGTGCAATTATCATAATACCCTCGGGTCTTATATACGAGGGTGAATAGGGTAATTTTAGGGGTCACACTTATGCCTTTGGGTAAAAAAATCTGAGAGTAGATTCGTAAGGGTAATGATTTACGCCATTTTGATGGTTTAGTGTATTTAGTGAGTATTACCTTGAACAAGGGTACAGCCCCCCCCCCCCCCCCCCCCCCCCCCCCCCCCCCCCCTCCCCCAACCCGAATCTTGACTTGTCGAGGCAAAATTCTCGGAAGTTTCCTCTCGATAATATTTCTTCGAGGGGAAGATTTCAGCGCCCCAGCACTTGAATCGAGTGCGCCAGCCAGGTCACCGTGTTACACTCTAATGCAAATACAATCGCAGCAGATTTGGTCGCAATATGTTGTTGTCTAGAAAAAAACACTTTAGCAGATCGCAAAGTGAATCGGCGCGAAAAAATACCGACTCAATAATCTCCCAGCTAGTAATATTTGAGTAAGCATGTTTTTTTTTTCTGAACTCTCAAAAGTATTAGAAGGTCCATAAACATTTTGGTCATAAAAAGTACAATACAATATCGAAACGAACCCACCCCGACCAAAACCAGGTCGACACTAACCAAACTCTCGCACTCTCCCCCCACCTCCATGTCTACTTGCAGCAGACCAGCATATACTGAACAACCTATAATACAATCAGGGTAAAATAAAACTTACACCGTTGACTTTGGGTAAAATTTTCAAAACAGAAAGTTACACTGATCCATCAGTGTTTCCAAAAACAACACACTACTGAACAAGGTTTTGAAAATGGCTACACTGCAAATTATTAGTTGTTAAAGTCCAAAGATAGGCCCTGCATGGTAGTGCACAAGCTCTTGTTATTGGGGGGGCAACGTTGTTCAAAGTTTCTCTGGTTTGTTTCTAGTAGAAGTCTGTGAGGAAATCTATGTGATCCTTCTACATAAACTTGGGGAAGAATGAGTCGATAGATGTGTTTTGTGCAAGCCATTCCACTTGTAAGGGATGTGTCAAAACAGAGAATGAGAATGAATGAACTTATGAAGGAGTTGGGTACAAACACTAACCGTAATTGGGTTGTACCCCATATAGGGTACCCCACTACAGCCTACACAACATATTTTGACACACCCCCATAGGCAAAGTGGAGGAGTACAAGCAGTCACAGAAATTCAAAGCAAGCTCAGGGTGGATCACTGAGTCACCACACAGTCCAAGCACAAGCAAATGGGCACAAGGCCAGTTCACATGGAGAGTTATATAAAACAGAACAGACAGTACAGTGATCACAACCTAGCAAGAGTAAACATGCAAGTATATATATAGATCATAGTACAAGCAAAGTCACGTAGTGAGCAAGTGAGACAAAGCAGGCACAAGGCCTAGAGCAGTACAGAAACGCTGATGATCACCAGGCGGAAGTGCCTTGGTGAATATATCAGCAGTGTTGGCCCGTGTGGCCACGTAAGCAAGACGAACCTGATCACACTGCTGCAACTCTCGAGCAAGGAAGTAACGCAGAGCGATGTGCTTCGTTTTGTGCTCCAGTCTGTGCTCCTGACACAAGGCAATCGCGGCCTTGCTGTCTACGTACAGATGTGGAGGAGAACGAGGCCGCTCTCCCAAGTCGGTCAGCAGGTAGGTGAGCCAGCGTAACTCCTGTGCAGCCATGGCTCCTGCGTAGATCTCAGCCTCACAACTGGAGCTGAGAACAAAAGACGAGCGAGTAGACTGCCAAGAAACAGAGCCGGAGCCAAGGCTGAAAGTGTAACCCTGTGATGACCGCTGCGTAGCCAGGTCGTCAACCCAAGAAGCGTCTGAGTGTCCAGTGAGGACAACGTCACCCCGTCCTCCAAGCACGAGCCCCATGCCCGATGTACTACACAAGTAGCGCAACACCCTCTTAGCGGCCTCCCAGTGCTCTGGTCGGTGTCTCCCAGGCGCAACGTAACGAGCAAGGATACTAAGAGGGTACGCAAGGTCAGGTCGAGTGCAGGCCATCAGGTACATGAGGCAGCCCACAAGCTCTGGATACGGGCCACTCGGCTCTACGGACTCGTCCGAAGGTGGAGCTGAGAGCGAGTGACCAGTAGGCAGAGGAGTGGACTGTGGTGAGGAGAACTGGAAGCCAAAGCGCTGAAGGACCTGGTGCACCATGTGTGACTGAGTCAAGGTGATGGTGCGTCGTGCTCTGTCCCGGGTGATCTGCAAGCCAAGGTAGCTACGCAGCTCACCCAGGTCAGTGCAGGTGTGTCTCTTCTGCAGCTTCGCCTTCACAAAGGCGAGTCTCTTAGTGTCAGCAGTGGCAAAAACCAAGTCGTCGACGTACACGAGGATGTAAAACGGCGGCAGCGAAGTGTCGGTGCGCAGAAACAGCGACGGGTCAGCAGTGGAAGGAGCAAACCCAAGAGCTGCAAGTGTCGTCCTCAGTGTGTCGTGCCACTCACGAGGCGCCTGGCAGAGACCGTAGACTAGCCGTCGTAGGCTCCACTGGGTACCCTTAGGAACAACCCAGTGAAGCCAGGAGGACGGCGCAGCCAGATCTCCTCGTGGAGTTTGCCCTGTAAGAAAGTTGTGCTGAAGTCAAGAGAGTGAAGCCCGTAATCACGTTGAGCGGCAATGTGCAGTAACACCCGAAGAGTGGTCATCTTTGGGGTAGGGGAGAAGGTCTGGAAGAAGTCAACTCCCTGTCGCTGACTAAAGCCTCGTGCAACGTAACGAGCTTTGAAGACAGGCGGAGAACCCGGCGGCCGCTTCACCCTGAAAATCCACATGCCCTCAATGATGTTCGCCCCAGGAGGAGGAATTGCGACGACGTAAGTGCCTGTGGACTTCTAGGATGCCATCTCTGCGTCCATGGCTGTGTGCCACTGAGAGGAGTAGGGACCCGTGATCGCCTCTGCGTAAGAGCGCGGGGTTGGGATGTCCAGTGCATCCGGGTCTCCCTCAGGTGCAAGCATCATGGCCACGAGATGAGGTACAATGGCTGCAAGGCCCTCAAATTCCTCCTGCCTGTCCTCAAGGACGTCCGTGCCAAGAACACACTCACCCCCGACGGACGGAAGACAGACAGACTCAGACTCAGCAACAAGACTAGTGGCGTAGTCTAGACGATACGCAGCAGCAAAGTCAGCAAGCTCAGCAGCTACGGCAGACGCAGCAGTGGACTCAAAAGAAGGGTCAGTGACAACAGTGGCCAGGAGACTCATGACAGTAGGGTGGGCAGCACGAACCAAGTCAGACTCAGGGTCCGGAACGTCAGGAAATGAGGACACAGGAGGAGACGGTGGGGGAACACGCTGTGGAACAGAGGAAGGACATAGTGCCATGGTGTGCGTGCCGGGAACATGTGGAGGACGAAGACAGGGAACACGACGAGCACGGCGAACAGTGCGAACAGGGGAGGCAGGACGAGACGTAGGCTCACGACGCTCTGTAAGGGAGGCTGGCTGCTCAGTGTAACGAGGGGGGGCAGGCAGCGGTGAGTCTGGAGGAAGGGCAGTGGACGAAGGAAGACTGAGAACCTGACGGAGCACTGAGGTAGGCGGTAGCAGTCGCAGCTGCGGCGGCGGCAAGAAAAACGGTCGCTGCTGCACAGTGCCTCCAGCACCAGCACCGCCAGCTCCAGTGCCTCTAGCACCAGCGCCACCAGCTTTAGCAGCACCAGCACCTCCAGCGCCTCCAGTACCTCCAGCTCCAGCAGCACGAGCACCCCCAGCTCCAGTAGCACCAGCACCTCCAGCACCAGAACCTCTAGTACCAGCAGCTCCAGTACCTCCAACTCTAGCGCCTTTAGCTCCAGCGCCTCTAGCTCGAGTGCCTCCAGCGGCAGTGCCTCCAGTGGCAGCGCCTCTAGCTCCAGCGGCTCCAAACTCTAGCGCCTCCAGCTCCAGCGGCTCCAGCTCCAGCGCCTCCAGCTCCAGCGCCTCCAGCTCTAGCGGCGCTACTCTGAAGGCGGGTGCGCCGAGCAAACCACTAGCGCAGTTGCGGTGGTGAGAGAGACTCACGCCGGCTAACCGCTGCGGCGAGGCACCCAGAGACCCTCCAGCACCAGTATCTCTAGGACCAGTACCTCCAGTACCTCCAGCTCCAGAACCTCCAGCA